TACGGGCATGGTTTCTGATCTAGGGTGGGACACTTTACAGAACAGAAGGACAGCCAGTAGATTAACTATTTTACACAAAGCCAGACAAAATAAAATTGCCCTACCGATTGCTACTCAGCTTCCGTCCGCACCGCGCAAATCGCGGCACACAAACCCGAGTTCCTACAAGACACGAGCATTCCACAAGGCTTGCTATAGGTATTCGTATTTCCCGCGGACTGTTAGAGACTGGAACGAGCTTCCGCAGGCCCTACCAGAAATACCAGAGGCCGGAAAGTTTAAGGAAGATGTTCTGCTACACCTGAGGAGTATTTAGAGCGCCCCCCCCCCTGCGTGTTTGACCCGAACTGAGGGGTGTTACGCAGTACTACATCAAGATCAAGATCAAGACCATGTCTTGACCAGGCTTCAGGGGAGACTGCGATAAGTAGACATTGGCCAAATAGACAGACAACATGCCAGGGGAGTTGGTCCGCTAAATATTTTGACAAGCTGTACTCCTTTAGCTGACAAACTCCCCTGGCACGTTATCTGTCTATTTGGTGGCAAATTTCTAATCTTTCCAGCCGCTTCTGAAGCCTCGTCTTGAGCACAAATAACACGTTACATTGTATCAACGGAAAAGTAACGCCCGCCGCCCATAAGGGCCAGCTGGTTATGGAAGTTGGTCCCAATTACTTAGCTTAAGAAGCGGATTTTTATAGGCTGCTACATGCCTCTTTATCCGAACATTATGTATGTATGTATGCAATGTAATTACTAGTACGCCGGTGCCCGTCGCGGATGTAGCCCCGGCCGGTCCCAATGGGCATCTGTAGTCTGGGGGGCACCGGTTGTCGTGGTCACAATAAAATGTTTCTTCAGTGGCATTTTCTTAAAACTTTTGTCACCCCCATTAGTAGATCTCCGGCAGGTACCCGGCAGATGCTCTGTTACAAAAACCGGAAGTTCTGCTGCAGTACCAAGGTCAGACACCAGTATGCCCAAAATCGACCTTAACGTTTGCCTACCCAACACCTACCCACATACCAAATATCATCCATTTAAAGGTTCAAAACACACAGACACACAGACAGACAGACACGCCGAAAACAATACCTCCATTTTTCATGGCGCGTTAAAAACTCTTCAAACGCTGTATAAAAATTCTCACCCACCCCGGAGCCTGCACAGGAGGCTACAACATGTTTTCATATGATAGGGGTTTTGGAAACACCACTTTCTGTGAACAATATGTTTTCATATGATAGGGGTTTTGGAAACACCACTTTTTGTGAACAATATATGTTTTGGAAATTATATGTATTTAAGATATATATTAAGATATATATATATTGTTTATATTTTCTTCTTAGGCATATATGTTTTACAATCGTATGTATTTACTACACATATATTGTTTTGAAAAGTATATATTCTTCTTAAACATATATGTTTTACAGTTGTATGTATTTTAAATATATATATATATCGTATTTTTGACAGTGTTCCTGCTTCGTAAGACTGCTCATGAACTCCAGCCAGCCTTGTTCGGTTGGTTGACGGTCGGGGGAAGGTTTTGAATGAATGAACCTTGAATGTGTGACAGAGGCTAATGATGGATCATGAAGTAAATACCTGATTACCTGTAAACATATTGAAGGGCTAAGTGAAATTGTGGCACACCAAGGTAAGGGCTATGTAGTTTGAAAACCTGTAAACGTTGTGTGATCCAGAACATGTACAAACTCAAACCACGCGTTGCCTTCCGTAGATCGAGTATCAACCCTTGAGGAACAGCTGGCTCAGGAGCGAACCATTCGGGCAGAACTGGAGGGGAGGTTCAATGGTCTCCAGGAAGAGTTGGCACATGTGCAGAACACATCGGCCCAGCAGAATGGCCTTTCGGGAAAACTGAAAAACGACCTGTGCAGCGCAACACCCAAGCTGGGTATTACCTAGGGCACAGCCCACTAATTCCAGCCCCTATTGGAATATATGGAAAACATCTAAGAACTGAGCTGTCAACAATCACCTACTTGAGTGTTCAACTATTGCAAACACACACTGACAGGGTAGTCCAACTTCCAAATTGTCCATTTAGTCCAAAAATTTAACTTTTTGACCAGCGGTACTAGCACGGCAAATGCAAACACTGGCAGCATGACCTCTGACCCCCATGAAGACCACCAAAAGACAAGAAGATGGGAGTAGTTTTAGAACTCTACCAAGCAGCCAAAACAACACTAACAGCCAGTTTTTTCAAGTTAATAGAAATAGAAATAACTCCACACATACCAAGAAAAAGGCTGTTTTCAGTTGGTTTGGCAGCACTCAATCAAAAGTCTCAGACTGGGCCCACTGGGCATGCGCCAATTGGTGACCTTTGCCCCCTAGGCTGGGTAACAAGTAAACAAACAAAACAATGAAAGGCCGAGTGGCTTCCATGATTATACATTTGTGACAACAGTAGAAATTTAAATATATTTAAGATGAAATATTTTAAAATATATTTAAGATAAAAATGTATTTCTTCAGGGCCAGTTATATAGAAAAGTACCCACAGAATGACCTTACATGTATAGTCAAGTTGGCAGTCTCCTCGCAGACTGTGAGGAAGTGAGTCCACCTTCATAGGTAGTGAGGCATACCCACTTAGGACGTGCCACCACAAGCAGTCAGTGTGCAAGATTTCTGTTCCGGGTCCGTCGTATGTCAGACCATTCCGTCTCCTCACGAAAACTTCAAGTACTTCTCGCTGTTGAAATCTCCGACTTTTTCTTGTCAATTTTTGTTTTCTGACAGGGCGGCTTTTCCAGGTCAAGTCACCGGCCGGTGACTACAAGTACGACTTAGATGAGGCAAGGCACGCATGCGCAGAGCAGGATGCAACCCTCGCCTCCTATGACCAGCTGTACCAGGCCTGGAAGGACGGGTTGGGTTACTGCTTATGCGGGTGGCTGTCGGACGAGACTGCCCGGTATCCAACGCAAATTCCCTCGTGGGTAAATGTTGTTATCCGCGCATGCGCGTGATGCAAGTCCATTCACCTTTCAACTAAAAGGTGCCTTTAAAGAATCTTTCCACTGAGGGAACAAAATCGATGTTCGATAAATTAATCCCATTAATCCATGTGATAACCTTTTCCTTGTTTCTTTTCTACCGGTATACCCTAGGCCAGGCTGTGGCGTAGTTGGCATCAATGACTGCGGCTGGCTCACCCAGTACAACGCCTGGTGCTTCCGTGCGCTCAGCTTCTGTGACTGACACAACATCACTGTCATGCCAAGTGGTTTCAAATGTGATGACGATGACATTGTAACTACGGTTTCAGTAACTTACACCGTGATTATAGCTTCGATAACTGCAAGCTAACTGCATTGATCAGTAATACTTCTTCTCACCTTCTCACCCGGCCGCCTGTATGTAATACTGTACCTGATATAATCTCGGCTGTTGGTTGGATCAATACGTCTCACAATTGTATTGGAAACTCCCGGATCGAAAAAATAAAGAGCATCGTGCTTCTCAAGGTATTTCTTGTCTTGTTTTGAAAGTATGATTTTCTACTAGGCACTCACTAGACCAGATACGATACAAGCTATTTTATGTTTGAACTTTTGTACCTATTTTGCCTTCTTTAAAAGAGAACTTAATTGGATAGGAGTTTTTCTTTTAATTTGCGGAGAGGATGTCGGACTCGGGAGCTATAATAGGTTTGGTAACCAGGCTATTAGTTGTCTACCTATGATTAAGACACAGCTAGTCTTCCAAGAGAGAATGCTTAATGCTTAAGAACCCGTATGCAACAAGGGGCAAAATGTAAATTCATTCCTATCTGTTGTCAAACATCGTTTTCTTAGAAATAATATCAAAATATTTTATACGTTGACAAATATTAATAAATAGTAATTCGAGTATTCTCATTATGATGCCTTCTGTTGTGATTATAACTTAGTTTGTAGCTATTTGCATACTGCTGGTAGGTATGAGTGTCATAAGAAGCCATGGAATTAAAAAGCCGCGAATATTTAATCAGTTCTCGTATTTTGTAATTAGAAACTTGGCCTTTGAATGAAGTGTTTTGTGTCACCACGTCTTGTGATAACATGTTTCGGAATAAAAAAAATGAAGTGTTTTTTGTTTAATGTTTGAAAACTTCCTTTTGTATCCTTTGAAACCGCGCTAAGGCGTCGGAAGTAAATGTTACCATCTGTCGTTTATGGAGTACTTTGTTTTTCTGCGGCTTTTGTGAAGGTATAAATACGGAGTCATCCTAAGGCATTGCGCGTCCACCCGTCATTTTGATAGTGAAGACAGCGTATCACAAGGTAAGACCTATAGAGTTCCTCTCAGAATTTGGTACCGAAGAATTTGGTGGGAATCTAATGTCATTTTTTTTTTACTATTACCGGCAGTGCGCAAACGACGAAAGGTCTACGTAATTCCACATTGATCTTTTCGTTCGTTTTACAAGGATTGCATACTGGTCAAAAGCACCAACTGCTAAAAGAGCTAACATATCTTTTTCTACCTCTAACGTGATTGGCCAGCAGGCTGAATAGAACATTGACTTGGGTTAGACTTTTTCATGGCGTTCTTTTTATATTAGTAGGCGGGAAATCTGTATTGCACAGCCGGTGGTGTCAAGCTGGTATTGTAAAAATATGTGATGTTATGTCAAGCGATGGTAACTTCCTGACATTAGGTGAGCTGGCTCAGAAATATAAAATAACATTTACCTCTGCGGCTATGCTTAGATATTCTAGCCTGAAATCAGCTATTCCTAATGTTTGGAAAGATACAGTAAAGAAGGATCAGCTTGATGATCCGGTGGAAGAAACCATCGCTTCACAGACTTTATCTTGTAAACAGGTGTATGATATATATTTAAACAGACGTTTGAACCCCAAACAGGCCAAGACGAACTGTCAAAAACTGTTGAGCATGAAGACAACTTGAAAATTGTGTACCTTTCATATGCACTAAGAATGTTAAACTACAGTATTTTCAGTATAAGATAATACATTGATTTTTGCCGACAAAGTGCTATCTAAAGAAAATTAAACTTACAGACTCAGACAAATGTCCATTTTGTAACAAAAAGCAAAACCTAAACCACTTGTTTGTAGATTGTTGTTACGTCACTAGTTATTGGAACGACTTTTGCTCCTGGTGGCTCGACACCTTTTCATAATATATTCCACTAACGAAAACGGATATTTTGTATGGTAAAATTGAAGCAGGAAAAGAATAGACACTTGAATCAATATTTATTGTATGCAAAAAATGCCATCTTTAAGAGTGTATCATCGAATAACAAGCCTTATTTCTGTAATACACTATTCTCATATTTGTTTTAGGGGGGCTTGCCACAATGTTTTTCTTTGTATGTATTTATACGTTATATTTCTTTAATTTCTTTAATAAAAAAGAATATGTGCTCACCACAAAAAAAAAGAAAAAAATTCTTTTATGGGTTTCTTGAATTGAAAAGTTGCCGATAACCTAGGCTAGCTTAGACCAACCATTTTCTGTCGTCTTCTGCAGTACTAGCTGAGTTGGTCAGATGGCGTTTTCTATTGTCAACCTTTGCCTCGTGCTGGGTCTTCTGAACGAGTGCTCTGGGAACGAGAAGGGTGAGACGAGCCTGTTGGCCAGGATGATTGACAGGAGTGTGGAGAGGCCGGCAGGTGGGAGGGTTGGTCTGGATCACAACCTTTTTCCAAGAATTCAACCTCCTTGCTCTTTCTCACCGTTTTAAAACGCTCTCTCAGTCTCTGGTTGCTTCCGTGCCAAAACGACATGCAGGACCTGTACATATTCTGTAATCTGAAAAGTTGTTAAACCGGTATTCTGAATTGGTTGTGATTGGTGAGACTAGAAACGTCGCAGAACAAAAATGAAATTCATAAGAAATTGACACGTTCTTGACTCAGAGTTGGAAATTTGGCCTGCCATGCATTAGCATTACCACATTTTGAAATGAAGACTAGTAATTCTAGTTCAAATTTACACCGTATCTGTGAAAGGAAAATGTGCCTTTTTATCTTTTGTGACATAACGGTATTATATACTCCAGCCCAATTAAATAGACGTTGGTACAACACGGGCTTTGTCACAGTTATCCCTTTTGATTATCACTAATGATGGTGCACATGTAATCCACGGTAACCACGTCCGTACCCTCCCCGTGTTTTCTCCTGCAGACCAACAGCTGACTGAGCAGATAAAGTCCGAGTTGTGCAGCGCAACGCCAAAACTTGGTAAGAGCTAAAGCTAACGATAACGCTACAATCTTAGAACCGAAGATTTAGAAATTGCTCTCCATCTCCGACAAGTTTATTTTGCCGTATCACCCGAAAATTAGGTGTTGTAAGTATTTGAATGCAGTAGAGTGGCACTGGAAGGGGTGGTTTTGTAACCACAGAGTGACCTTGAGGTCAAGTTGGCAGTTAAATACTGGGAGGAAGTGAGTCTACTCACACAGTTACTGGGAGCAAGGACGTTGTTGAACGTCCTTGCTGGGAGTATACATAACCACTAAGGGTCTGTCACAACAAGATTCCAGCCAAGGTTCCTGTTCTCGGCCAGTTGCAGTGAGTCAGACCATCGCTTTGGGGACGGACAAGGCAGAGCCTTTTCCTTTCTTTGTGCTGCAGATGTCAGCAACTGAAGATTTGTCATTCTGTCCAATCCTAAATGTTGTCTTGTCAGGTTTTCCTCTGTTGGTTTCGCGTACAGCCTGCCTCGGGAGTACCCTGGAGGATTTTGGCTTCAGGTATGTTTTGCCAGCGGGTGTGCCATGATAGGCGGAGGAGTTTCCTCCTCTCAGTTACTAATTTCATAAGAATTCGGAGATCTCATACCTCCATGAAATATATGAGTTTTGTCCTTTTTAATTATGCAAATGGCATCTATATTTAAATAGATTGCATGTATAAAAGTACTATGTATAAAACACTGTAATTATAGAATTCTCTCCTTAATTATGCAAGTTAAGTCTTCATTTGCATAATTTTTATCTAATTATGTACATTTCTCTTTCAGCTACCGACATACCAAAAATGATGAAAATACGCTGTTCCTATCTGGGCTTATCGGCTTTAAAAGAATTCACCAGAAAGCCCCCTGCAGTTCCAAAACAAGCTACCAGGGGAACCAAACCCACACCAATTATTCCTGACAAGAAAAGCTATCTGTCACCAAAAAGTCAAGACCATAGCATGTTCACTCGGACAAAAGATACAAAAACCGGAATTTGTGCTGCGTACCAAGGTCAGCCAATAGGAGGCCCATATTTGACCTTGACCATTGTCTTTCCAAGACTTACCAATATACCAAATATCATCACAATCCATAAAGGCGTTCTGAAGTTATGTCGACCACAAAGTTGCGGAAACACACACACACAGACAGACACACAGACAGACACGCCAAAAACAATTCCTCTATTTTTCATGGAGGTAAAAAGGCTGAGAACTTGTTCTCGTACGTACCGGTTGGTCTTTAATACGCTCGTGGTAGGATATTTGGAGGAGGTTTATGCGGAAGCATTATGGCTCAAAAGCCTGAGAGCAAGAAGCTCTGCCAGCAGGGTTCACAACGTTTGACAACAGTATGGACACTACTATAACATTGTAAAGCTTGTAGTTTTCTGAAGTAGCAGTAGCGACCCTTCTGTGACTCTTCTGTGGATCTCTGGTGTCATCCGTTGTGTCAACAATTTGCCGAAAACAAGTTTAAAATTTCTTAATTTTTTGTCTGTTTTCTGACAGGGCGGCTTTTCCATGTCAGGTCACCGGCTGGTCGCTACAAGTACGACTTAGATGAGGCAAGGCACGCATGCGCAGAGCAGGGTGCAACCCTCGCCTCCTATCACCAGCTGTACGAAGCCTGGCAGGACGGACTGGATTACTGCGCATGCGGGTGGCTGTCGGACGGGACTGCCCGGTATCCAACGCAAATATCCAGGTGGGTAAATGTTGTTACCTCGCTTGCGCGTCATGTATAGAAGAAGTCCATTCATATTTCAATCCTCAAAGGTCTTTTAAAGAATCTTCCATCGAGGGCACAGAATATGTCCGATAAAAATCTATGGCAGCTACAATATTCCATATGATAACGTTTTGCTTTTTTCATGTTTTATTTTTCTTATTAAAAAGTATGTGCATGAAGGAACCATCCAATTAGAAAGCCACAAACAGAGCTGACTAATGAATGTAAAATAAAACAACACTTAAAGTTAAACAAAAGATAACATATGTATCAACTTGTACACGTTTTCCACATTTTCCATCTTCCTTCTTATTCTAGCAATAATAGTCCATGGGCCAAGACCGTTTTTGTACCACCGAGACGGATATGACCAAGGACATTATGAGCAATCATCATAAGTTGTTACACAAGGCCAAATAGGTAGCCTGTCAGTGAATAAATGCCTGATTTTGGGAAGTAAACAATGAGTTTTTACACAAACAATTACCCTCAAAATCGGAGTTTAAAGGCGTATAACTTCCTAAAAATGCAGAATATCGGCAAAAAATCTATTGTGTTGTGATAAATGTGGCATGTTTTGCCTACAAACCAATTTTCACCTTATTGACGTTTGATATTTTTTTCCCGGCCCTTTGGATTTAGTCCCAAGGCACGAGGTCCATTTTGATGACGTCATTTGGTCACGTTATTATACCAAGAAAGCTACTCATACAGACTTGCTATCTATCATACATCAAAATAAACTTTGGTTATTGCAGAATCAAAAAATCTATGGTAGCACTGGTCCGTCTCGGTGGTACAAAAAACGGTCTGGCCCATGGATTATATAAGGTACTAGTATCCAGCTTTATGAAAGAGATACACCATGATTAATGTCTTTTAGATCCACGGCTTTTGGAAATGTACATTTTGGCTAAAAGTTTTTCCTTGTTTTATGCATAACATAATTTTTCAACCCTAGGCGAGGCTGTGGCGGAGTTGGCATCAACGACTGCGAATGGCTTACTCAGTACGACGCCTGGTGCTTCCGTGCGCTCAGCTTCTGTGACTGACACAACATCACTGTCATGCCAAGTGGTTTCAAATGTGATGACGATGACATTGTAACTACGGTGTCAGTAACTTACACCGTGATTTAGCTTCGATACCTGCAAGATAACTGCATTGATCAGTAATACTTCTTCTCACCTTCTCACCCGGCCGCCTGTATGTAATACTGTACCTGATATAATCTCGGCTGTTGGTTCAACCAACAGCCGAGATTATATCAGGTACAGTATTACATACCAATGGATCAATACGTCTCACAATTGTATTGGAAACTCCCGGATCGAAAAAATAAAGAGCATCGTGCTTCTCAAGGTATTTCTTGTCTTGTTTTGAAAGTATGATTTTCTACTAGGCACTCATTGGACCAGATACGATACAAGCTATTTCATGTCTGAACTTTTGTACCTATTTTGCCTTCTTTAAAAGAGAACTTAATTGGATAGGAGTTTTTCTTTAATTTGCGGAGAGGATGTAGGACTCGGGAGCTATAATAGGTTTGGTAACCAGGCTATTAGTTGTCTACCTATGATTAAGACACAGCTAGTTTTCCAAGAGAGAATATGATAGTCGACATAGTTTCAGGAAATAATACATAGTGCCATTACATGTTCAAGTATAATCACAATGTTCAGCTTCAGCCATTTATCTCATTTTTATTTCAAAAAAGGACTCTTTTCACAACTATTTCACTACATACACCGATACAGACCCTAATACTTCTTATTCCAGTGACTGTAGTATTCTAGTGAATTACTAAAAGAAGAATTGTCTATATACTGAAGATTACTTTGTTATGGTAAAGATGACGTATTTGTACAAAAGCCGTTATTACTAATATCACGGTTTTAAAATTGAATTTACTATCACAACTAAATGAATATGGTAACCATCACACCAGTTAACAAACTTTGTGACCCGTACACAATTTTCATCAGCTGTCTACCAATTTGTATAGAGTCCATGCCGTTATCAAAATCCTTTAAACAAATGAACTGTCTCGGCATATCAGTTGTTCCCATTTCATAGTTAAGGTGTCGGCTAGAGAGATAGGCATAAATTACTTTTCTTTAAATGAAAGTAATAAATTCTCAATGTTCAAGTGTAACCGTATGCAACAAGGGGCAAAATGTAAATTCATTCTTATTTGTTGTCAAACATCAATCGTTCCTTAGAAATAATATCAAAATATTTTTATACGTTGACAAATAATGTAAAGTAATTCGAGTATTCTCATTATGATGTCTTCTGTTGTAATTATAACTTCGTTTGTAGCTATTTGTATACTGCTGGTAGATATGAGTGTCACGAGAAGCCATGAAATTAAAAAAGCCGCGAATATTTAATCAGTTCTCGTATTTTGTAATTAGAAACTAGGCAACTGTCCTTTGAATGAAGTGTTTTTGTTTAATGTTTTAAAACTTCTATCCTTTGAAACTGCGCTAACGCATCGGAAGTAAAGGTTGCCATCTGTCATAAATAGAGTACTTTGTTTTTCTGCGGCTTTCGTGAAGGTATAAATACGGAGTCATGCTAAGGCATTGCCCATCCACTCGTCATTTTGATAGTGAAGACAGCGTATCACAAGGCAAGACCTATAGAGTTCCTCTTAGAATTTGGTACCGAAGACTGTGAACCGGGAGACCCGGGTTCGATTCCGAGTCGTACCCGGGACATGTCTGAACATGCGCCCCGACGTTGTGCCCTTGGAAAAGGCACTTTACACAACTTTCCTCACTCCACCCAGGTGTGAATGGGTACCTAACTTCGGCTGGGGAAAGTTGTATTGAGGTCACCTTGTGGCGCCGAATGGCACCCGCACAGACCCCTGCGACATATATGTTATGTGTATCATTTGTATTATTTGATTGTTGTAATTGTTGTGATTTGTATTGATTATTATGTGATACCCTACATCAATTCAGCCGTATAAATGCTGCGACTGCACGGGTACTGTTTGGACAATAAAACCATTAATTAAGAATTTGGTGGGAATCTAATGTCATTTCTTGACTATTACCGGCAGTGCGCAAACGAAGAAAGGCCTACGTAATTCCACACTGATCTTTTCGTTCGTTTTACAAGGATTGCATATATACTAGTCAAAAGCATCAACTGCTAAAAGAGCTAACATATCTTTTTTTTTACCTCTAACGTGATTGGACCAGCAGGCTGAATAGAACATTGCCATGAAAAAGTCTAACCCAAGTCAATCTTTTATTTTTATTAGTAGGCGGGAAATCTGTATTGCACAGCCGGTGGTGTCAAGCTGGTATTGTGAAAATATGTGATGTTATGTCAAGCGATGGTAACTTCCTGACATTAGGTGAGCTGGCTCAGAAATATGAAATAACCTTTACTCCTGTGGATATGCTTAGATATTCTAGCCTGAAATCAGCTAAACCTAATGTTTGGAAAGATACAGTAAAGAAGGATCAGCTTGATGATCCGGTGGAACAAACCATCGCTTCACAGACTTTTTCTTGTAAACAGTTGTATGATATATATTTAAAACAAACGTTTGAACCCCCAACGGGCCAAGACGAACTGTCAAAAACTGTTGAGCATGAAGACAACTTGAAAAATGTGTACCTTTCATATGCACTAAGAATGTTAAACTATAGTATTTTCAGTATTTTCAGTATGAGATAATACATACATTATATTCTTCCCGACAAATTGCTATCTTAAGAAAATTAAAGTTACAGACTCAGACAAATTCCCATTTTGTAATAACAAACAAAACCTAAACCACTTGTTCGTAGATTATTTTTACGTCACTAGTTATTGGAACGACTTTTGCTCCTGGTTGCTCGACACCTTTTCAGAACATATTGCACTAACGAAAACGGATATTTTGCATGGTCAATTTAATTCAAAGTATAATTATAAGTGATGACAAGTATAATTGAAAAGCAGAAAAAGAATAGACACTTGAATCAATGTTTATTGTATGCAAAATATGCCATCTTTAAGTGTATCATCGAATAACAATCCTTATTTCTGTAATACATTAATCTCATATTTGTTTAAGGGGGGCTTGCCACAATGTTTTCTTTGAATGTATTTATATGTTATATTTCTTTAATAAAAAAAAGAATATGTCATCACCAGCAAAAAAAAAAAAGAAAAAAACTTCTTTTATGGTTTTCAAAGTTGCCGATAACCTAGGCTAGCTTAGACCAAACATTTTCTGTCGTCTTCTGCAGTACTAGCTGAGTTGGTCAGATGGCGTTTTCTATTGTCAACCTTTGCCTCGTGCTGGGTCTTCTCCTGAACGAGAAGGGTGAGACGAGCCTGTTGGCCAGGATGATTGACAGGAGTGTGGAGAGGCCGGCAGGTGGGAGGGTTGGTCTGGATCACAACCTTTTTCTCGTCGTTTTAAAACGCTCTCTGGTTGCTGCCGTGCCAAAACGACAGGCAGGACCTGTACATATTCTGTAATTTGAAAAGTTGTTAAACCGGTACCCTGAATTGGTTGTGAGTGGTGAGACTAGAAACGGCGCAGAACAAAAATGAAATTCATAAGAAATTGACACGTTCTTGACTCAGAGTTGGAAATTTTGCCTACCATTACCACATTTTGAAATGAAGATAATTGTACTTCAAGTTTACACCGTATCTGTGACAGGAAAATGTGCCTTTTTATCTTTTATGATGTAACTGCATTAGATACTCTAGCCCAATTAAAAAGACGCTGGTATTACTTTAAAACCACAACACGGGCTTTGTCACAGCTATCCCTTCTGATTATCACTAATGATCGTGCACATGTAATCCACGGTAACCACGTCCGTACCGTGTTTTCTCCTGCAGACCAACAGCTGACTGAGCAGATAAAGTCCGAGTTGTGCAGCGCAACGCCAAAACTTGGTAAGAGCTGTAAACGCTAACGCTACAATCTTAGAGCCGAAGATTTAGAAATTGCTCTCCATCTCCGACAAGTTTCTTTTGCCGTATCACCTGAAAACTAAGTGTGTAAGTATTTGAATGCAGTAGAGTGGCACTGGAAGGGGTGATTTTGTAACCACAGAGTGACATTGAGGTCAAGTTGACAGTTAAATACTGGGAGGAAGTGAGTCTACTCACACAGTTACTGGGAGCAAGGACGTTGTTGAACGTCCTTGCTGGGAGTATACATAACCACTAAGGGTCTGTCACGACAAGATTCCAGCCAAGGTTCCTGTTCTCGGCCAGTTGCAGTGAGTCAGACCATCGCTTTGGGGACGGACAAGGCAGAGCCTTTTCCTTTCTTTGTGCTGCAGATGTCAGCAACTGCAGATTTGTCATTCTGTCCAGTCCTATAAATGTTGTCTTGTCAGGTTTTCCTCTGTTGGTTTCACGTACAGCCTGCCTCGAGAGTACCCTGGAGGATTTTGGCTTCAGGTATGTTTTGCCAGCGGGTGTGCCATGATAGGCGGAGGAGTTTCCTCCTCTCAGTTACTAATTTAATAAGAATTCGGAGATCTCATACCTCCATGAAATATATGAGTTTTGTCCTTTTTAATTATGCAAATGGCATCTATATTTGAATAGATTGCATGTATAAAAGTACTATGTATAAAACACTGTAATTATAGAATTCTCTCCTTAATTATGCAAATTAAGTCTTCATTTGCATAATTTTTATCTAATTATGTACATTTCTCTTTCAGCTACCGACATACCAAAAATGATGAAAATACGCTGTTCCTAGCTGGGCTTATCGGCTTTAAAAGAATTCACCAGAAAGTCCCCTGCAGTTCCAAAACAAGCTACCAGGGGAACCAAACCCACACCAATTATTCCTGACAAGAAAAGCTATCTGTCACCAAAAAGTCAAGACCATAGCATGTTCACTCGGACAAAAGATACAAAAACCGGAATTTGTGCTGCGTACCAAGGTCAGCCAACAGGAGGCCCATATTTGACCTTGACCATTGTCTTTCCAAGACTTACCAATATACCAAATATCATCACAATCCATAAAGGCGTTCTGAAGTTATGCCGACCACAAAGTTGCGGAAACACACACACACAGACAGACACACAGACAGACACGCCAAAAACAATTCCTCCATTTTTCATGGAGGTAAAAAGGCTGAGAACTTGTTCTCGTACGTACCGGTTGGTCTTTAATACGCTCGTGGTAGGATATTTGGAGGAGGTTTATGCGGAAGCATTATGACTCAAAAGCCTGAGATCAAGAAGCTCTGCCAGCAGGGTTCACAACGTTTGACAACAGTATGGACACTATTATAACATTGTAAAGCTTGTAGTTTTCTGAAGTAGCAGTAGCGACCCTTCTGTGGATCTCTTCTTGTCTGGTGTCATCCGTTGTGTCAACAATTTGACGAAAACAAGTTTGAAATTTCTTAATTTCTTGTCTGTTTTCTGACAGGGCGGCTTTTCCATGTCAGGTCACCGGCTGGTCGCTACAAGTACGACTTAGATGAGGCAAGGCACGCATGCGCAGAGCAGGGTGCAACCCTCGCCTCCTATCACCAGCTGTACGAAGCCTGGCAGGACGGACTGGATTACTGCGCATGCGGGTGGCTGTCGGACGGGACTGCCCGGTATCCAACGCAAATATCCAGGTGGGTAAATGTTGTTACCACGCATGCGCGTCATGTATAGAAGAAGTTAAAGGTACTTTTAAACAACCTTCCATCGAGGGCACAAAATATGTCCGAAAAAGTCTATGGCAGCTACAATATTTCATATGATAACGTTTTGCTTTTTTCATGTTTATTTTCTTATTAAAATGTATGTGCATGAAGGAACCATCCAATTAGAAAGCCACAAACAGAGCTGACTAATGAATGTAAAATAAAACAACACTTAAAGTTAAACAAAAGATAACATATGTATCAACTTGTACACGTTTTCCACATTTTCCATCTTCCTTCTTATTCTAGCAATAATAGTCCATGGGCCAAGACCGTTTTTGTACCACCGAGACGGATATGACCAAGGACATTATGAGCAATCATCATAAGTTGTTACACAAGGCCAAATAGGTAGCCTGTCAGTGAATAAATGCCTGATTTTGGGAAGTAAACAATGAGTTTTTACACAAACAATTACCCTCAAAATCGGAGTTTAAAGGCGTATAACTTCCTGAAAAATGCAGAATATCGGCAAAAAATCTATTGTGTTGTGATAAATGTGGCATGTTTTGCCTACAAACCAATTTTCACCTTATTGACGTTTGATATTTTCCCCGGCCCTTTGGATTTAGTCCCAAGGCACGAGGTCCATTTTGCTGACGTCATTTGGTCACGTGATTACANGTTTTCTGACAGGGCGGCTTTTCCATGTCAGGTCACCGGCTGGTCGCTACAAGTACGACTTAGATGAGGCAAGGCACGCATGCGCAGAGCAGGGTGCAACCCTCGCCTCCTATCACCAGCTGTACGAGGCCTGGCAGGACGGACTGGATTACTGCGCATGCGGGTGGCTGTCGGACGGGACTGCCCGGTATCCAACGCAAATATCCAGGTGGGTAAATGTTGTTACCACGCATGCGCGTCATGTATAGAAGAAGTTAAAGGTACTTTTAAACAACCTTCCATCGAGGGCACAAAATATGTCCGAAAAAGTCTATGGCAGCTACAATATTTCATATGATAACGTTTTGCTTTTTTCATGTTTTATTTTTCTTATTAAAAAGTATGTGCATGAAGGAACCATCCAATTAGAAAGCCACAAACAGAGCTGACTAATGAATGTAAAATAAAACAACACTTAAAGTTAAACAAAAGATAACATATGTATCAACTTGTACACGTTTTCCACATTTTCCATCTTCCTTCTTATTCTAGCAATAATAGTCCATGGGCCAAGACCGTTTTTGTACCACCGAGACGGATATGACCAAGGACATTATGAGCAATCATCATAAGTTGTTACACAAGGCCAAATAGGTAGCCTGTCAGTGAATAAATGCCTGATTTTGGGAAGTAAACAATGAGTTTTTACACAAACAATTACCCTCAAAATCGGAGTTTAAAGGCGTATAACTTCCTAAAAATGCAGAATATCGGCAAAAAATCTATTGTGTTGTGATAAATGTGGCATGTTTTGCCTACAAACCAATTTTCACCTTATTGACGTTTGATATTTTCCCCGGCCCTTTGGATTTAGTCCCAAGGCACGAGGTCCATTTTGCTGACGTCATTTGGTCACGTGATTACACCAAGAAAGCTACTCATACAGACTTGCTATCATACATCAAAATAAACTTTGGTTATTGCAGATTCAAAAAATCTATGGTAGCACTGGTCCGTCTCGGTGGTACAAAAAACGGTCTCGGCCCATGGACTATATAAGGTACTAGTATCCAGCTTTATGAAAGAGATACACATGATTAACAAAAGATTGAAAATGTAGTCTTTTAGATCCACGGCTTTTGGAAATGTACATTTTGGCTAAAAGTTTTTCCTTGTTTTATGCATAACATAATTTTTCAACCCTAGGTCGGGCTGTGGCGTAGTTGGCATCAATGACTGCGGCTGGCTCACCCAGTACAACGCCTGGTGCTTCCGTGCGCTCAGCTTCTGTGACTGACACAACATCACTGTCATGCCAAGCGGTTTCAAATGTGATGACGATGACATTGTAACTACGGTGTCAGTAACTTACACGGTGATTATAGCTTCGATAACTGCAAGATAACTACATTGATCAGTAATACTTCTTCTCACCTTCTCACCCGGCCGCCTGTATGTAATACTGTACCTGATATAATCTCGGCTGTTGGTTGGATCAATACGTCTCACAATTGTATTGGAAACTCCCGGATCGAAAAAATAAGAGCATCGTGCTTCTCAAGGTATTTCTTGTCTTGTTTTGAAAGTATGATTTTCTACTAGGCACTCACTGGACCAGATACGATACAAGCTATTTTATGTTTGAACTTTTGTACCTATTTTGCCTTCTTTAATAGAGAACTTAATTGGATAGGAGTTTTTCTTTTAATTTGCGGAGAGGATGTAGGACTCGGGAGCTATAATAGGTTTGGTAACCAGGCTATTAGTAGTCTACCTATGATTAAGACACAGCTAGTCTTCCAAGAGGGAATATTATAGTCGACATAGTTTCAGGAAATAATACATAGTGCCATTACATGTTCAAGTATAATCACAATGTTCAGCTTCAACCATTTATCTCATTCTTATTTTTAAAAAGGACTCTTTTCACAACTATTTCACTACATACACCGATACAGACCCTAATACTTCTTATTCCAGTGACTGTAGTATTCTAGTGAATTACTTATAGAAGAATTGTCTATATACTGAAGATTACTTTGTTATGGTAAAGATGACGTATTTGTACTAAAGCCGTTATCACTAATATCACGGTTTTAAAATTGAATTTACTATCACAACTAAATGAATATGGTAACCATCATACCAGTTAACAAACTTTGTGACCCGTACACAATTTTCTACAGCTGTCTACCAATTTGTATAGAGTCCATGCCGTTATTAAAATCCTTTAAACAAATGAACTTTGTCGGCATATCAGTTGTTCCCATTTCATAGTCAAGGTGTCGGCTAGAGAGATAGGCATAAATTTCTTTTCATGAAACGAAAATAAAGTCTCAATGTTCAAGTGTAACCGTATGCAACAAGGGGCAAAATGTAAATTCATTCCTATCTGTTGTCAAACATTAATCGTTACAGTATTTATCCTTAGAAATAATATCAAAATATTTCTAAACGTTGACAAATATTAATATATAGTAATTCGAGTATTCTCATTATGATGCCTTCTGTTTGATTATAACTTCGTTTGTGGCTATTTGCATACTGCTGGTAGGTATGAGTGTCATAAGAAGCCATGAAATTAAAAAGCCGCGAATATTTAATCAGTTCTCGTATTTTGTAATTAGAAACTTGGCCTTTGAATGAAGTGTTTTGTGTCACCACGTCTTGTGATAACATGTTTCGGAATAAAAAAAATGAAGTGTTTTTTTGTTTAATGTTTGAAAACTTC